CATTAAAGCAATATTTTCTTAACTACATTTTATTTATATAACCATTCCTGTAACCATATGCCTATTATTATCAGACTACAAACCCATTGCATTATGATTTTGTCAATTTCTGAGATAAATGGGATTTGTTGCATGCTGCATTATTTTTCTTCAAGATACAGTATAATGCATTATGAACATTTTCCTTGTGTTTTAAATTGAATTATTTACATTATGATTTTATACTGTAATGTTTCCTTTTGGTCCATGATCACTCTGGGTTTTGATAACTGATATGCACTTTTGTCTGTCTAGCTCCCAGAAAGCATTTTATTGAGAACATGAATTTCTTGTTTACAAATGCAAGTTAGTCAGATCAAACAGAAGGTCTGTTCTGATGTAATGAGCAGAGTAATTTGAGCATTGTCTGCTTTCACTTGTCCAATTGTTATGGTACACTGACAATATGGTGAAAATGATAATGGCAAACCAAACATTGTCTCATTTATGTATATTTTACATAATACATTAGTGCAATTTTACAAAATTATTTGTAATTGATTTGTTTTACTACATATATTTATTTTTTCTGTTGCAGGTAAAAAAATAAAAATGTAAAATATATTTAAGTTGCCTGTATAATGCTCTCTAAACTTTACTGAGTTAAAAATATATTTTAGTTGCCTGTATAATGCTCCTTAAACTTTACTGACTTTGCTAATTGGATTAGTTCCCCTAATCTAACGTATTCTACTATTAATCATCCTATTATAAATAGGTAAACAGGAATGAGTAAACTGTAAACCAGTGCATTCTGTTATCTATCTTAATATTCAAGACATTCTTAGACCAGTAGCTATCAATCAGGGTTCATGATACCTGGAGGGTGCCTCAACGAGTAAATGGAGGTATCCCAGGGGCTGCATTTAGTATGGTTGATCCCTGATCTGTTCTCCAGTCATTTAATATGTGTACCTTTAGCAGCTCAGAACAGTTCTCCCCTCAGCTTGTACTTCCACATCCAGGAATGCAATCCTAGATAGACGTTCCACTGGTTTCAAATGAGATCATGGGAAATCCTTGAATTATTTTTTTCCAACAATAGATAAGAATTATTATTCTTTTTTTATTGTTCATATCAGTTAGAGGTACCTAAACTCCGAAGCAAAAGGTATGAAATGGTCCTTGACATGGTACTTTATTTTGTTAAGGCAAGATGCAGTTGTACTGCTGCTGATTTTTCAGTGCTGTGTTGAATAAAGATGAATTGTATGTTATTTTGTGACATTTCAATAAAGTTGAAAAAAAAAGTAAACTGTGCAATGTGTCATTAGAAGGCATCACACTTCTCCTTTCACAGTGCATATCAGCAGCCATGGTATAATGCTGGTGTAAACAAACTCTCAAATATGCAGGCACAATCCCAATCCTACAGGCTGGTTGTAACGTACGCATGAATTGTCTATTTATTCTGGTCACCCAAGTGCCAGTGTCCTATTTTGCAGGACCCTATTTAAATTTTTTTTTGTTTAAGTACTTCAAGTAAATGTGGCTCCTAACAGAACCCAGTGGAGTAAAGGTACAGTAGTACTCTTAAAAAGGAACCTTTCTCACCAATTTATTGTCTCCCAAAACAATGTTGTCAGTGTGCTTATTTCAGCTCTCAACTGAACTTTCAAGCCCTCAAATGGCTGTGTTATAGATGATCACATGTGCAGCACCATGGCAACTGCAATCCAAAACAGAGGCTACATCTTCCCTGGCTGTAAAGGATAGGAGGATGTAGTTCTGTTTTATGAACCCTGGACTGGTTAGGCCCCATTCACACTTAGAGGTTTATCGCGCGGATTTACGCAGCAAAAACGTGCATATTTCCACGCAATATCGCTCTGTACTAAGTCCAATGCATGTCAATTGAGCTGTTCCCATTTACAGCTCCATGTCGCCTGTAGCTCGTCGCGCGTCGCTTGTGCAGAACCCTTTTTTGGCAGAACCCTTTCTTGTGCTCAGCCCAATACGAAAATGTGCGCGATATCGCACGGAAAAACGCACGGTTTGCAATATCGCAAGTGTGAATGGGGCCTAACATGAAACCATTATTCAGTTTGTATATCAACCCCATTATGACTGAGGCCCTTTTTTTTCTCCATTTTTTTGTTATAATACACATTATAGGCCTGAAAATTACTTAAAACTCCCAAACATTTATATATTTTCTGAAAGCCAAAACCCTATAAAATAAAATGGTGGCAGTTGCAAATCTGTATGTTGCACGTTATTAACGCAACTCCTTATCAAACCCCAAAATTTAGTGAAAAATGTGTCTGTGAAACTGCGACAAATTTCAGTACCCCAAAAAGTTAATATACGACGCTTTAAAAGCCCCTACAGGTCATCAATTTAGAGATACGCCTAAATATATTGCCAAGAATTATTGCTCTCACTCCGGCGTGCTCGGCTATACCCAACATGTGTAACGCGATTGTTGTTTTCATACGTAGGCGCACCCGACGCGTGTTTAGGTGAAGACGTGCGTGCTTGCGGGGGACTATAAACAATTTGTAAAAAATATTTTTACATTTATTTCATGTAATATTGATTTTAAAAACTTCTTTTTTTTATTTTTTACTTTAACCAGTTGACATCCGCGGTGTTAAACCCCCTTCCCATCCAGGTCATTTTTCAGTATTCAGCGCTGCCGTACTTTGACTGACATTTATTCCGTCATGCAGCGCTGTACTGAAATGAATTTTATACCATGCCGCCCCCCCTCCTAACCCTTCACCTTCAATCCCGGGATCCGCTGCCCCATCTGCGGCCCAGGATCGGCTCGGGAGGGTGTCAGGAGGTAAGATGGGAGGGAGCTCAGCATCTTCCTTCTCGCTGATCTCCCTTAGGCCCCATTCACACTGAGCGATTCGCAAACCGCTGAGCGATTCGCAAACAGATCTCTGCTTCATCAGCTTCTTTTGGGGTACCCAGGTGACATTAGGGGTCTTAGAGACCCCTAATGTCTCCATAAAGAGGACCTGTCAGTGTACCTGTGCTATTATATAGGGGTTTGTTATCCCCCTATGTAATAGCAATGACAATAAGTGTAAAAAAACATAAAAAGAGTTAAAAAATAAGTCACATATAAAAAAAACTTTAAAAAACCCCCCCAAAAATTCTTAAGTCTCCCACGTTTACGCACATATAAACGTAAATACGCGTCCAGTGCACCAGCGCGCGAAAACGACAATTGCGCTACACACGTTACATATCGCCGCGAACGTTGCAGTGAGAGCAATCATTTTAGGGCCATCAATCACTGATAACACTAAACTGATGAGCGGTAAAAGCTTTTAAAGCGTCGCCTATGGCCAATTTGGGGGTATTATAGGTTTTTGAGGTTTTGCGCACGCAATTTTAAGACTTGACATGTTTGGTGTCTTTTTATCCGACGTGACCCCTTCTTTTATATTTTACCAAAAAATTGGGTAATAATAAATGTTTTATCATTTAATATAGGGGAAACAAGTTTTTTTTTTTAATTCTGTAATTTTTCCTTTTAATATAGTAAAAAATTAAAACCCTGTAGGGGTGATTAAATACCACCAAAAGAAAGCTCTATCTGTCCCCAGAAAGTGGTATAAAATGTATTTCAATACAGCGTTGCATGACGGAATAAATGGCAGTCAAAGTAGCGCAGCGCTGAATACTGAAAAATGGCCTGGATGGGAAGGGGGTTTAAACACCGCGGACTTCAACTGGTTAATTGCTATAACATACAAGCCCCTAGACCCCTAGTATCACCTTTCCATTTGAAATAAGCTATTGAAGTGCTGATCACACTTCAATAGCTTATAGCTGGGCTTCAGGAGCCTAACAATGACAGCTATGGGACCGGAAGCGATGTAATCTGCATCGTTCCCGGTCCATAGTTCGGGGAGGAGATCGGTGAACGGACGGTTGCCAATCTTCTCCCCAGCTTGCCCCCGACACCAGAGAAGCCAGTCCTGGGCCCGTAGAAGGGGCAGTGGAGCCCGGGAAACACGGGGGAGGGGGGTCTGAGCCACCAGAATCGCTTCTACTGTAAAGCTGACAGTCGGCTTTACAAGTGTAATCAGAGCTTTTGCCACCGGGAGTCTGTTTAAACGGGTCCAATGCCAGTGTCGTACAGTACACTGTATGTCACTGGTCATGAAGGGGTTAAACTGATGCTAACTCGGGAATCAAATCTTAAAAATGCATTCAAGCACCTTAACTAATAACAAAAATGTAGATTATTTGTGTATCACTCGGCTGTCGATCCTCCAATCATCTCTGAATTGGTGCTGACACTGTCCTTCCTTCTGGAGGGTGACTACTTTTGTTCACCATGGAGTGTGTTGTAGCCATCACTCCAAGCTCACTTCCATGATAGACTACAATGTCATACTAATTTGTACTGAAATGATAGTTTATCACGGGAACAAGCTTGGAGCGTTGACTACTTTACAACTTTTACATTTTTGTTAAGGTGCTAGAATGTTTTTTTAAGATTTCACTCCTCAGTTTAGTATCACTTTAGTAGGAAACACTAATATGCCCAATTAATGCTGCTAACCTTTGACATTACACTTATAAAATCAACTGTTTAAGCAACTAAAGTATCTGACTTGCTGTGAGGGAATATCCTGAGACGGAGTTGTTTGACATCCTAGACACCTCACCATGTGGGATAGTAGGCATGTTTGTATATCCCCTTGTGTCTTTCTATGTGCATGTGAGCTTGTGCGGATATGTGTGTGTGAATGTCTAAATACTGACATGAGTTTTAATTATATTGTGAAGCAACTGGTATTTTCTGGCTACCCCTTGTTTACTGAAATACCCTTCCATTAATCACCTTTCTTTTGTTAGTTGGAAACTGGTTTCTCGTTGATATGGGTTATTGCTCTTGCAGTGTGTTATTAAATAAGACCTATATTTTGACCTTAAAATAAGTAGTCTGTGACTTTAAAACTGAATTATAGCCGTCTTTCTCTCTCTCTTTATAGTGTGCTGGAGAAGAAAATTGGGTAGACAATCGCACTATTTATGTTGGCCACAATGAGCCTCCTCCTGGCACTGAAGCATACATTCCTCAGAGGTATCCAGATAACAGGATAGTCTCCTCAAAGGTAAGATTGTTTACTCATTTACATCAAGTCACTTGTGTGGTTACCTGGCTGGAACCTGTAACTAGGGCTGTATTTTTCTACAGCTGAAGTATGAACTGTTCAGTAACTCCATATTTGCTTATCACTCTTGAAACAGAAGATTACTTTCGTAATATTTATTTTCTGTATTGGATTACGTTCTGATGAGGATTCTTTAATGCTTTTATTGTCAACAGAGAAGATCAAATAAGGTCAATGTCTCCTATTTGTTACACTAGAAATAATCTTTTAAATATATAGCAGATTAAGATTGATTAGACAAAGCACGTTATACAGTTTAAAACATATGAACAATGTGTCATTATTATCATTATTTTTCACATATTTATACAGGCCTAATGTATTCCATGCTGTTATACACAGTACATTAAACCATCCACATAAATCCCGGACCGAGTGGAGTTTAGTTTCCAAACCTATTGTGGTCACACGATACATCAATGACATTTAAGAGCTTGAAAAAGATCCGTGTGAGGACAATGTAATGACATTTTTTGACACAGAAGTGCGATGTACATTGCATAGAAAACATTTACAGGATTATTCACAAAAGGGTGAAGAGTTTGGAGAAGGCAGGAGAAGTGAACAATCTAGGACAACATAGCTGAACTGGAAAGTGAGCTGAATTGGAGAATTTTTCCAAATTAGATACTTGGGCCTTGATTGTTCACTTCTCCTGCCTTCTCCAAACTCTCCACCCTTTTGTGCATAATCCTGTTAAAGGTTTCCTCAAAATTAGGAAAATTATTTCTTAATCTTCACAAAAACTAGTGTCCACATTGGAAGAATTCCCCTCAGCTCCTATTCTGGTGACATCTATAAATGTTATGATTTCTCACCATTAGTTGTCCCCTGACAATGATTACAAGGATAAATAGAGAGGATGAACAGTAGAAATGTCCTCTATCCTAAACGAATACAAAAAAGTTTAAGCTTTAGATATTATTTAAAAAGTTAGGTAATAGGTTCTGCTAGCAAAGCTGGTGATATAAGTAATAATAATTATTATAATTATTATTATAGCACCAACATCTTTCCCACCACTGTACAAAGTTATCATTTATTTTTAGACGTACATCAGTAGGTGGGATCATTCAGAGGCCTCCTATATCTATTAGCAATGTCGTCTTCTGCTGGCTTCTAAATATTATAAAATAAATAATAATATGCAAGATCCACAGCACTAGACTCGCTCAAAGATCTCGGGGCCATTTAACTTGCCAGCATCCCCCAAAAAATTAAAATAACACTTCTGCGTGTACTTAATCCTTAAAGGAGATTCAGATATCTCTAAAATCTCATGAAAGCTTTTATTTGTAAATGTAGTTTCAAAAGTCACTTGGAATCTCTTTAAATAGATTTCAGGTGATCCTGCCATTAAGGTTCTTGTTCAGTCACTTCCTGCTTTAGGGTCCTGCTTTGTTACCCTGTCGCATGTGCACCTGGCTGAGACTACAGACAGCCGATAGACATTGAGAAGACACAGTCCACCGCCACTGTCAGTAAACAGCAAAAAACAAGCAGAAGGCAGTTCTGCATGATACACAGGGGGGAATTTATGAGCGCATTTGCACCAAAATGTTAGGTGTGAAGACCAAAATATCATGCTAACTAACCGCAGAGTTTTATCTCTGTTATGCGTCTTTTTTTAAGTGTTCCTGCGACATATTAATGTTTGCGGTTCATTGCACATGTTTTGTGACATTTCGCATAATATTTCAACTGCGCAGTTGAAATAGACGTTCAATAGACGCACATTTTAGAAGTTCTTGAGAGCACGTCTTAAACAATCGCAAAGATAACTCAAACACTCAAGTCAGCTTAGCACCTCTGGCTATTTAGCTGTCATGCAGGATGTTCCCAGAAAGCTTACGACAGTTTAGAGACAATTTAGGCTAGGTTCACATATCGGCGATCCCGGGACGTGCTATAGTGCACAATTCCCCTTATGAAGGCATTTAGGAATGAAACATAAACTATGATACTAAATCTGTCTCTATATGCACTAGAAATGAGGAATACAACAGTTTAAGAGACGCTGATAAATTCCCCCAACCATGTTTTGGAAAACAAAATGACATACAGATGGAGTTTAGTTCTACTGTAACAGAAGATTTTTTAAGTTGGGTAATTATTAACTAAGATTAATTTCACAAATGGAGCAAACCGACTTTTATGCAACTATTAATTTGGAGCCATGCTCAGATTTGGTAGAAACTGAAAAATGGACCTTGATGTTCATTCATATCCTCTATAAATGGATCAGTATTTATTTGCAATAAATTGTACGTGTGCATTTATTGCATGATGCTTGTTACATCTTACATGTTATTTCTGGTCTTTGTAATTAGTGCAAATATTGATTAAGAAGAAGGAGTTGTCCAGCGTTCTCCTAATGAGATGTTACACATTCTCTTAATTTCGGCTAATGAAAGCGGGCACAGCTGCACATTTAGCTGATTGCTGTTCTGCTATTAAATACTGTAGCCATGCATAGGTAATAGGAAAATCACTGTGTTCTGTTGATATAATTATTTTATTTTGTCCCTGTTGGATTGTGCTCTTTATTGCATTAAATAATGATATTATAGTCCAAAAATAAAATTTGCACAGGAATTAATTTGTTACCAAGAAGTTTTAACCAGATTTTTTCAAAGTTCTGATCTAAATAGTTATGACTTAATAAAGTATTAGGCCTTTATTTGTTAGCAGGAAAGCCATATGGTTTATTCATGCATCATGTGCGGAATATCAACATCAAGCACATTTAGAGGTTATTATTTGGTAATTCACTGATAACACTGCTGGGTAAATTTAGTTAACAGGCAAGACTGATTAGGGCATGAACCATACCAGAAACAAATTTGTACTTTATAATACATTATAACCTAATCATGAGATCCTGGGCTTCATATAATTGATCTCCAGGCAGATTTTTTTTTAAAATAGTTTGCCCAGGCTTTTAAAAAAGTAAACAATGCAGCTCTCACTGTAATGTTTGTCTTGTCTCCATCACTGGCCTCCATATACTAATTTTGCTGCCACCAGCTGCTGGCTCTCTTCTGGGTTTATTAATGGCCAGCATTCAACTTCTTTTGTGTCAACCCAGGCTGTCATGGACATGCCCCCTGGTGGGTGCATAACCACGTTTGCCTGGGCTCACAGTACAACACTTCAAAGAGTGGCAATGATGTAATAACTTGGCATCGATCTCTGCAGTATTGAAGACTGCTGACACTGAAAAAAAAGCAAAGTGGACCCCGGGATGCCAGAAGATTACTGGAAAAAGGTATGTATAGAATAAAGGAAAAAACAAAAAAAGTGCAGGCAAGGACTTGTGGGGGCCTATTAAGATGACCCAGGTTGTGCTTTAAATGTATTTTTTAGTTATTGCTTCCCAGACCTCAAGAATTCTTCTTAGCCTAGGAATTCTTAAGGAGACCCTGTCACCGACTTAAAAATTAAGGTAAAACCACAGAAAATATTTTTAATGAATACTTGCATGGTTTTTCCTTTCCATCATGTTGTTTTATTGTCTTATAATGTGCCTTTTAAATTTGCTAGAAAATGTTATTACTTCAGAAGAGCCATTTCCCTAGGACAGCTCCTCCTTCCTTGAATCTCATAAGCTGACCACAAATTTTGTCCAAGCCCTGCTGACCGCCGAAATAAGAGCAGCGCATGACCCCAGTCACTGCCACTTCAACTTTTGTAGAAGGAGCCGGTTAACATTTTTTTGGCTGAACAGGGACTCTAGCCAGTCAGCTGCAGTCAAAGTTAGGGTACTCTACCAACGGCACACCTGCTGCTATCAGAATGCAAAAGCCTTGCAAGGTGGGGATGGGGAGATTACCCCATCTATACCATTTGAATGTATGGCAAGCTATAATCTTCTCTTTTTCTGGAAGTGTCTAATGACTGTCTGTCATGTCATGTCCAGGAAGGCTATCTGCTTATGTAGCATTGGGTAGGCTATGATCTTGGTTAGAAGGTCACTACAGTATAATGTTCTAGTGACACCCCAGCCCCCCCCCCCTCACTAGTCAGTCTAGGTGGGGCACGCAGCCAGAGACAAATGATTGTTGTTCATAGCTGTTGAGACCTTGATCACAGCTCCTGGCAAAAGAAAGTCTTGAGCTGCAAAATAATGAAATGCAGGAAGAATGCAAAACTGTGAAACTGTGAAATGTGTTGTGCTCATTTGTTGAAGCGGAACTAAAGTCTGTTGATACCCACTTCAGCTACAAGAATGTGATGTCCTTGCTAGCCCTGACATCTCTTCCCGCAGCTTCTTCTGAGTGCTGGGTCTTTAGCCGCCTTAAGTGGCTGGCAGGAAATGATGTAACTCCTGCACATGCGAGTTTATTCTTTCTGGGACAAAGGTGTGCCAAGAATGTACTCCTGTGCATGCGTAGCTCATTGTACATTTTAAAGAAGATTGCGAACAGGCAGGTAAGTTTGTTTTATCGCATAAGAGGAATAGCCAGGGCCGGATTCCCGACAAGGCCACCGAGGCCCGGCCTCGGGGCAGCACTGAGCAGAGGGGCGGTTTGAATCACACGACCCCCGGAACATAGAGTTCCGGGCGGTAATTTACTTTCTACATTTAGCCCTGCTTTGCACAAGCAGAGCTAAATGTAGAATAGTAGAAATTACTTGTTTCTTTACAAGTGTTCTCGGCGATGTCGCCAAGAACACTTGTAATCAGAGTGCCGGGCCGTCCACCCGCCGCCCCCCTCCCTCCCCTGCACTTACCTCTCTCCATGCTGCATCCTCCCGGCTCCGTCCTCGCCGCCGCCTTCAGAATGGAGAGCTGTAAGCAGAGCGGCAGGGTTAAAAGCAACCCTGCCGCTCCGTGTAGATAGTGAGAGGGAAGAGCTGTGCTCATCTTGTCTCACCTCCAATACAGGAGTTCCAGCACAGTACTGTGCTAGAATGCCTGTATTGGAGGTGACAGGTTC